GGATGGATGGATGGATGGACTCCAGGCCGTCCTGGCGCTGTGCTGCGCTGCGGATGCAGTGTGAATTCTCTAACTGACTATAATAGCTTCTTATTTAAAGCAGTTTGCAGAGGAGCAGCAGGAAACAACAGCCGATCCTCACATTTCTCTATCCTTATGAGGACTTTATAATAACTTCCATTCATTTCTAACCCTTTTCTACAGACCAACTTTAAAACCTCAACTCACAGCTTTGTCCTAAATTTAACACCTAACCCTAAAAGAGCATTTGTACCCATGGGGAGCAGACATTGGTCCCCTCTAGAGTACTCAGTCCTCACAAAGTGCTATCATTTATGGAAAATGGTCCCCACAATGTCACATAAACCCGCCCACACACAGACAAACACACACATTGTAGAGGTGGTAAAATGGCGACCTGATGCACATTTCCTGCTTCATCTGTTAAATGTTTTATTTTAGACAAAAACAACCCGGAAAATATAAATATGAGAATCTAAACACAATTATATTTAATAAAAACAACTGTTTAATGAAAAATCCCCCTAAACCTATGAACTGGTTTTGGTTTAAATGAACCTTAAACTGCTGCTCAACCTTATAATTAAGAATTATTCATGTTTGTTGGATGTTTGTTAAAATGTTTCATCTGAGGCAGCAGGACATGGAGCTCAGCTTCCAGTTAGAGTTTATCCATCAGAGACCATCACAACTTTTTCACATTTTAACCTTTCTGTAAATAAAGCAGCGCCTGGGATCAAAGTACTCTGATAATCTTTGCTGTCTATAAAAAAATACTTTAATCCAAAACATGAAAGTTTTTTTCTAAAATGAATGAAAAAGTTTAATTTTTGTTGGTTTAGAGGAGTCTGGGAACGATGTCCCTCCGCCTGTCTGTGTTTGACCCAAGTTTGAACTCTGACAGAGATAGCATTTTTATAACAAACACACACACACCCTCACACACACACTCACACACACAGCAGTTTAAAGTCTCCTTCCACATTTCATGGAGGTGTAGTTGATGGAGGAACAGAGTCAAGTAGAGGACAGACTTTCAGAGTCAACAATCAGCTCCCAAAGAAAAACACAAAGACTAATTATTCCCAAATGTAATCTGATTAGGAGAGGCCCCGTTGAGAGGGATTAGAGCCTCATTTTCATTTAGTAAAAAGCTGCTGAATGCGCTTCCTAACACCTTTTAGCTCTTGAATGCAGCTCTCCCCGCAGGCATGGCCGCTGAGCCAAGCAGCGGCCCTTCAGCTAAGCTAATGAGTTTGTAAACCAGCTGCTTTGAGGAGCAACAAAAGAGGCGCTCCTTTTGTCTCAGGGGAGATTTTTCAGTAAAATGTCCCGCATGCATCAGGATTAAAGATGCGGGCTTGAAACAAATGATGTCAGAGCAGTGGGCGGGGCTTAGCGACTGCAACAATTAAAGATGAACTTTCAGTGAACTAATTCATGAGGGCGGCCTATAAATGCTGCGGCGGCCGCGCGCTCCGGCGCAATGCTCTGTGCGTCCTCAGCATGGCTCTCAGCACCCTGCTGGCCTCCGTCCTCTGCACGCTGGTGCTGCCCGTCCTGCTCTTCCTGGTGGCGGTCAAGTTGTGGGAGGTCTACCTGGTCCGGGGCGCAGACCCGGGCTGCAGGAGCCCGCTGCCGCCCGGATCCATGGGCTTACCCTTTATCGGAGAGACGCTGCAGCTCCTCCTGCAGGTGAGACCGGCGCTGTTCCACCGAACCGAACCGAACCCTGCTGGTACCCGAGCTGCAGGCAGAGAGAAAAGCTTCTGGAGAACTTTGGTCTTCATCATGAGGAAGATATCCCATTTATTTCTAATTAATAACAAAAAACCGACTCCTTTGATTTTATCTGTTAAACTGAAGAAACAAACTAGAAAGGAATCTTTTTGAGATTAAATGAATTCTGTTGGATTATTTTATTCTCTTTTATAAAAATGAACATTTCCAAAAAATGTATAGCTCATTTTTAGTCAGGCTTCAAACTAAAAAAAATGCAAATGTAGATAAATTGGCTAATTGAGCAAAAATAAAGGTGACCCCCCCACCCAACCAGATTTAAGAACTGATAAAAGATTTCACCAGCTTCTATTACTCTGTTCTATATTAGATTTTCTAGTTTCTGTGGGTAACAGCGCCACCTACAGGGTAGGATTGTTTCAGGACTAGATGTTGAAAGTGAAAAAAGGAGATTTTTATTTCCCTTTTTTGGGAGATTATTTCTTTATTGTTTTGCAAAGAGATAAACATTATATTAAACTTAAATTCTTCTGACTGAAACTAAAATGTTTTTAGATATTCAATGTTGGAAACAGTAAATTTGAAGGAGGAGAGTCAGTGAGCCTTTCTGTGGTTGCAGAGGAGGAAGTTCCTGCGGATGAAGCGGGAGAAGTACGGCTACATCTACCGAACGCACCTGTTTGGGAACCCCACGGTGCGAGTGATGGGCGCAGAGAACATCCGGCACATCCTGCTGGGGGAGCACAGGCTGGTGTCGGCTCAGTGGCCCTCCTCGGTGCGCACCATCCTGGGCTCGGACACGCTCTCTAACGTGCACGGCTCGCAGCACAGGACCAAGAAGAAAGTGAGTTTGAAAGCAAAGTTAGTCCAGCTGCCTGTGAGAGAGCAGCTCTTTCACAGCATCTTAAAGGTCGACTCATAGATGCAGGCATGGAAACTCTGCAGAGAACATTAAACCTGAAATCTATTTCCTTCGATTTTGAAAGAAAGTTGAAAGTTGAGCCGAGTTTAATTCTGTGTTTCCTTCCTGCTTTAGGCCATCATGAGAGCCTTCTCCAGGGAGGCGCTGCAGCTCTACATCCCTGTCATCCAGGAGGAAGTGGGAGCGGCGGTGCAGCGCTGGTTGCTGCAGGATCCTTGCGTGCTGGTCTATCCTGAGATGAAGCGGCTGATGTTCCGCATCGCCATGAGGATTCTGCTGGGCTTTGAGCCGGAGCAGATCAGCAGCGACGAGCAGCAGCTGGTGGAGGCTTTTGAGGAGATGATCAAAAATCTTTTCTCCCTCCCCATCGACGTCCCTTTCAGCGGGTTGTACAGGGTGAGGGCATCAGATGAAGCAGGACGCCGATCCAGAGAGGCTGTCTACACCTCTAACTTTGTCTCCTCTCCTGCCCTGCAGGGTCTGAAGGCCAGAAACTTCATCCACTCAAAGATCGAAGAGAACATCAGGAAGAAGGTGGAGCAGTCAGACCAGGGGTCCAAACACACAGATGCTCTGCAGCAGCTCATCGACAGCAGCAGGAAGAACTCAGAGCCCTTCAGCATGCAGGTGATGAAGGCGCTGCAGGTCCGTCCGAAGAAGCAAACCTCTGAGAAGTTGCTCACTTTCTTTCCACCTTCTCTTCTAGGCCATCAAGGAATCTGCTACAGAGCTTCTGTTTGGCGGCCATGAAACCACCGCCTCCACAGCCACCTCCCTGGTCATGTTCCTGGGCCTCAACCCAGAAGTTGTGAAGAAACTGAGGCAGGAGATCTTGGACAAGGTAAATGTTCAGCAGACCTTCTTACCTTTACCTAGATCAGGGTGAAGGTGGCCCTTCCTGCTCCTCCATAAACCATGAGGAGCAGAAAGCAGCTTCAGAACGTTCCAGCAGTTTATGGAAACCAACAGGACACACAGAGAGGAGGAGACTCCTCCAAACGCCTTTCCAACAGCTCCAAGAATTGAACAGGAGGTGAAGGTTATGCAGGAGGAAAGATGTTTGGATCCACACAGCTAGAACTGATGCAGAGGATTAGAGGAACCTCTGGTTCCTGCTCAGATGTTTTTGGTTCAGGAGACCAAAGTGAGGAGAATCTGATGGTTTCTAACGTTTCTTCTGTCTGTGTTTAGGAGGACGATGGAGCGGACCTCCAGAACCTGAACATGGAGTCTTTGGAGCAGCTCAGATACGCCGGCTGTGTCATCAAAGAGACGCTAAGGATCAACCCGCCAATCCCCGGCGGCTTCAGAGTGGCGCTCAGAACGTTTGAACTCAATGTAAGCAACGGGACGCCGCCGGGCCGTGGGCTTGTAGAGCTTCTCCTTGATTGGCTGCTCTTCTCTCCGCAGGGTTTCCAGATCCCTAAAGGCTGGAACGTCATTTACAGCATCTGTGACACGCATGATGTCGCTGAGATGTTTCCAAACAAAGACGACTTTCAGCCCGAGCGCTTCATGGACAAACCCCCCGCTGATGCCTCCAGGTTCCAGTACGTGCCTTTTGGGGGGGGCTCCCGGATGTGTGTGGGGAAGGAGTTTGCTAAGGTTCTACTGAAGATCTTCTTGGTGGAGCTGGTAACAAAGTGCCACTGGACTCTCCTGAACGGGCCGCCAACCATGAAAACTGGACCCACCGTCTACCCCGTGGACAACCTACCAACCAAGTTCACCCGCGTTTCTAAAGGGGGCAGATCTGGGTCCTAGAGCCGACGGTTTCCTTCTGAGATTCTCGTCAACAAAGTGTATATAATAGATGAACATATTTTTATGACTTATAAATCTAGATCTATTCACACAGAACTAAATGAAAGCACTATAGGGTCAGATAAACACTTTAAGCTGCTCACTGGTTTATCTGCAGATTTTTGTAAATATGTCATATTTTTATCCTTATTTTGTATCTTTGCTCAACGTATTTATGTCATTTGTGTTAAAGGAGATTTTTATTTAATAAAACATTTACACAGGTGGTCGTCTGCTGGTCTGCTTTACTTTTAACAAAGTCATAAAACAACAAATACAATTATTCATGTGATGAGAAAAAGTTAAGTCTGTTTATTTGTTGGTTTCTTTAAATGTTCCGACATCCAAAGTACTCAAAATGACCTGAGTCCATTATTGACGTAATCATCTAATTTCAAAAGTTTAACAAGAGAAACTATTCAGACTGACACATTTATTTTATTAAAAGATTATGTAAAATATAAACATTCCTCATTTATATGGAGAGTTAAAGGGAATACAATGAAATCAATAAATACCTGTAAACATATTATGAAACTAACACAGCAAATGTGTCAATTCAATGTAACATTAAATACATTTTTAAAATAACTCAATTTACATATTTTTTTTTCATGGCTTTTGCTCAAAACTTATTTAACCTCAGTTTCCCTCAAAGTCGGTGGGCGGGGCACCAGAGAGGCCCTGGCATCTGATTGGCTGCTCCTCACTGAGAAAGAAATCTTCCTGCTTTCTTTGTTAAATGAAATATTATCGCTGAGAACAGAGAAATTTCAGTTTCTTTCTAAATGTTCTTTTACTAAAAGCATCTCTTTAAATCTATTGATACATGCAGCTCTACTTCATTTGTGCCTTTATTACTTTGAAAGGAACCAGGATCCTGCTGCTTTTCCTGAACAGAGGAAAACCGGATCCAAACATCCTGATTGGATCCTGGCATGAAAATGAAATACACATTTCATTAAGTTAAAACACTTAAAAGATAATATTTACACTTAACTAAAAAACAGGAAAATTATATATAAATATAGGCTGGAGTTTCTAATAAAACTTCCCATGGTGCCCTTCTCCAGAGCAGGAAGTTGGAGCTGATTCCTGATTGGCTGCATCACCTGTTATAAATATATCTGTATACAACCAATAATTGCTCCATAAATGATGGAAAGACGGAGAAAAACATTGTTGGCCCTAAAATTTCAAAAGTTTTAGATGTTTAAAGAAATGGATCCCTAGTTCACTTTTTACCAACTTGGACCAAATATGATCCACAAAATTTGAATTATTTTAACTAATGAACTGATGAACAGTTTTTAATCTAATCAGATATTCAATCAGCAATAGGTCTCCAAAGTTTCCTCAGGAAACATGTTGGGTTTATTAACAGCCTAAAAAAGATTACAGATTATGATATTTAGATCCAGACATTATTCTTCTGAGTTCTGAGGGGACCAAAAGGAAGCTAGAAAAGGAAGCAGTAGATAAAATGTTGGTTTGGTCATCAGTCTCTAGGATCACAGATCTACAATCAGTTTCCTCACTTTTTAAGACCTAATTTCTACTCCTCTTAGATTGATCCTATTTCTGTCAGGAAA